CCCCAAAACCCCAAAACCCCAAAACCCCAAAACCCCAAAACCCCTATCTGGAATAAAACAATTGAAAATCGAGTTGCCTTTAGCCAAATTTTGTTAGAATTTCTTCAAAGGTTTTTCCCTAATGAGAGCTTCCATTTTGGAGATACTCATGCTTATTTTCCTACCTTCTTCAAATAGTCTTGATGTCGGATTTTGGGTCTTTGTGAGAGTCCCTTTTAAAGAAGTAATTGGTTTTACTAAACCTCGTAGAGTAGACCTTTTCAAAATTTTTGGGTCTAAGAGCTTTAAATTTCTATTTCAAGCTGATTGAGAAGCAGCAGTAGGCATTCTGTAGGCATCTGATTTTGAGAGAGATTGAGGCTTTTTAGTAAGGTTAAATTTATGGGTTTCACAGTAAAAGCTTCTCCCCAACTGATCATCGTATTTTATTAATTTAACCTTTTGGCAAAGAGAGTCTTTTCTTTGCTTTCGAGCACTTTTCTTACTTCTTGGCGATGATGGCTGTGAATTTAGAAATTTCTTTAAACTCTTATTAAGCTTTTGGTAATCTTCACCCATATCTCCTCTAAGCTCCTTTTGTGAGCTCTTTGATTGTTCTTTATTACATTTCTTATACCGGTTGTTCATGACTAGATAAGCACTTCGGCTCGATTCTTGTGCTTTAATAGGCTCATTTAGAGCTCTTTTGATAATTTTTATATCCTCTTAGTCTTATCTAGTCCCTTTACTTTCGGCTGGGGTTTAGAACTTAATGCAGAAAATTCTTCATACTTATTTACAAACCGGAGAGTTTAGGTTGAACTTCCCAATGAACTTGCCATTTGGTAGCTGCAAGCAAGGCTCTGGCTTGACGTTCATCTTTGATATTGGGATCAAAAACTCGTGAATTTCATTCTCTGAAATTCCTACATAGGACTTCCTACGGGATTTTTGAGGATATAAGCTTGTGTTCAATCTCCTTTTGACTAATTTTGGGGAGAATAGCTTATCTCTCTGATAATCAATGCAGAACTCGTTTTTCTTGAGGTTTCCAATTCCACGATGGTTATAATCATCCTCTTTCATCCTATAAAAACCTCAAATTCAGCTAGAATAGTGGTACTCGGGCTAGCTGCGTGTTTTACACAGCCCAAGTAAGCTGCAAATTACCATTTATTAAACAAGAAAGTATTCGCTGCTGCTAAATCTTTGGTCATAGGTAGGTAAGAATTTATTTTCAATTATTTTATCATTTAATGGGGTTTTGGGGTTTTGGGGTTTTGGGGTTTTGGGGTTTTGGGG